TCCGTCTTTTGCCTGCAAGTAGTACCATATAGTCAGGATTTGAGAACTGTTTATTTCCGGTGAGTGAATTTCCTTGGCTTTCAAAGTACTGTGTCGTTTCCGAGGCTGTGTTAAAAAATTTGACAGAGGCGCTACCGTAGGGAGACAAGAAGGACATAAACCTTGGTGCGCGTTGAAACAAGTTCAGCACACACGCTAATAATAACGTCCCTCCGATAATGCTACATTGTATTGGGTGGTGTTGTGTAACACCCCGGACCAGACGGTTTTCAGGAGATACAAGCTGGACATCCTCTGGCTGGCAATCCTGTGAGTGCTACTCCAGACAGTACACCTCCATTCACTCATCCACAAACTCATTCCCACTCATGCTAACTTAATCTCAGACACTCATCATGCATTCACTCTAACGCATTTTCTCTCACATGCATGCACACAGGCACACACTCACGCACAGTCCTCACATACCCGCTTCCCACACACACACACTCGTTCCTATCTTACATCCCTCCCCCTCGCTATCTCCTTCTCCTCCTTTTCTACAGCAGTAGCGCCCCTATCCCCTGTCCGTAACCCAGGATCGTGCCTCCTCACTTCTTCCTTCCTCCGCATCACTTCCTGTCAGTCTCATCAGGTGTGCTCTCTCTGGCCACTCCAGGTGTCTGCTAGGCCCAGGTACTCTGGGTTCTCTGCCGTGGGCGTCACAAAGTCATTCACCTGCCTGGGAGGAGGGTTAGGGCCATCCCTTTCCCCTCCCCCACCACCACCCCCTCCGGCCACAGCCTTAGCCTTGGCCACCAGGTCCAGGTAGTAGGGATTGTCGAAGGCAGGCGAGGTGGAGCCGGAGGTCATCATGGGGACCAGGTACTCAGGGTTCTCCACGCTGTGTCCCGAGCTCAGGCCATTGGGGAGGTGCCGATGCCTCTCAGCTGCCCCCTTGCGGGGCAGGGTGCTGGGCCGCTCGACGGCCCCCGACCGGAGGTCCTGCACCTCCTGGTTGATGTACTCTGGGGGAGGAGAATGAGGAGAGGAGAATAGTTCAGATATACAGTTTCACATAGAGATATACAGATTTAAGGAAACTGTCCTCTATCTTGGCACCAAATTCGATGTAAATATACAATTATATTATATTTAAACTAAGGTAGTCTTTGAACATAAAGAAGTACAGGTTAGGCATCAATGACAAATCAACACTCAGACTTATTATGACTTGCACAGATGTTTTTCAGCACCACGTGTAAGTAGATGAATGTGTGTATACAGACCTGAGCTTAAATACAATTTGTTTTCCTTTAAATACTTGAGCATTTGCTTGAGCTTGCCTAGAGTGCCAGATGCAAGGGGTAGGTTTACACTTATCCATTGCACTTATCCGTTGGTTACAATGTACCAGGTAAAATAAATGTAAAGTATTTGAAACAAAACAGCACAGGTCTGTTGTGTACTGTCTATCACCTAACTCACCTGGTAACGTGTGATTATGATTATACGCATGACCCCTACGGGGCAGCGAGTGATGATTATAATGATGCATCGGTGACGGTCCGTCCGTCTCCAGGTCGCTCTCTCCTCCATTGAGGAAGGTGGGGTCTTTGCAATAGCGCCCAGGGCTCGCTGGGGCGTCATCGGGACCGCCGTCCAGGAACACAGAGTCCGAGTGTCCCCCCGCAGAGAGGTGTGAGGGGGTGCGGGCCAGGAGGGAGGGGTACTGGGGGGTCCAGGGCCCGTTGGAGGTGGCGCTGACCCCCATGGGCAGAGTGGGGTACTGGCTGCGCCCCAGGGTGCTCACTGAGGAGTACATGCTTCGCGGGCCGCCTGCCATGGAGGGCTCGCTGTCCAATCCCTGGTCCGTACTCTGAGGGGGTGGAAAAAGAGTGTGTGTGAGACAGAGAGAGAAAGAATGTGTGTGTGTGTGTGTGAGAGAGAGTAGATCTCAAGGAAACTTACTATTAGGGGAAGGAGAGGCAAAAGGGGAGAGGGAAGGGGCAGGAGGAGGGGGAAAGATGGAGAAGGGAAGAACAGGAGAGGGAGCAAGTTATGGTGGAGAGAGGTAGAAAGTAGAGGGTAAGTGATCGTTCCAAAGACAGAGAGGACAGAAGAAGAGGGGTAATGGGAGGAAACTGACCCTGTGTGAGTGGTGTCGTGAGGGGCCGTTGGGGCCCGAGGTCTCTGCTTGGGGTCTGAAGAAGTTGGGCTGGGGCACCAGGTACTCCTCAGCATCTAGCAGGTCTCTGATTTCTGCTCCCTCCTCCTCCAGTAGAATCCTGAAGAACTGACTGTCAACTGGACTGGACAAACTCATCTTGTCATCATTCTGGAGAGAGAGAAGGGAGGGGGGGGGGGGGGGGGGGGGGGGGGGTGGAGGGAGAGGAAGAAAGGAATGACTTAGGAAAGTATGGTGAGGGTTTGGCTACATGTACAGTACCAGTCAAAAGTTTGGACACACCTACACATTCAAGAGTTTTTCTTTATTTTTATAATTTTTTACATTGTAGAATAATAGTGAAGACCTCAAAACTATGAAATAACACATATGGAATCATGTAGTAACCAAAAAAGTATTAAAAATATTTGAAATTCTTCAAATAGCCACCCTTTGCCTTGATGACAGCTTTGCACACTCTTGGCATTCTCTCAACCAGCTTCACCTGGAATGCTTTTCCAACAGTCTTAAAGAAGTTCCCACATATGCTGAGTACTTGTTGGCTGCATTTCCTTCACGCTGCCGTCCGACTCATCCCAAACCATCTCAATTGGTTTGAGGTCGGGGAATTGTGGAGGCCAGGTCATCAGATGCAGCACTCCATCACTCTCCTTCTTGGTAAAATAGCCCTTACACAGCCTGGAGGTGTGTTGGGTCATTGTCCTGTTGAAAAACAAATGATAGTCCCACTAAACCCAAACCAGATGGGATGGCGTATCGCTGCAGAATGCTGTGGTAGCCATGCTGGTTAAGTGTACCTTGAATTCTAAATAAATCACAGACAGTGTCACCAGCAAAGCACCCCCACACCATAACACCTCCTCCTCCATGCTTCACAGTGGGAACCACACATGCGGAGATCATCCGTTCACCTACTCTGCGTCTCACAAAGACATGGCGGTTGGAAACAAAAATCTCAAATTTGGACTCGTCAGACCAAAGGACAGATTTCCACCGGTCTAATGTCCATTGCTCGTGTTTCTTGGCCCAAGCAGGTCCCTTCTTATTGGTGTCCTTTAGTAGTGGTTTCTTTGCAGCAATTCGACCATGAATGCCTGATTCACACAGTCCCCTCTGAACAGTTGATGTTGAGATGGGTCTGTTACTTGAACTCTGTGAAGCATTTATTTGGGCTGCAATTTCTGAGGCTGGTAACCCTAATTAACTTATCCTCTGCAGCAGAGGTAACTCCGTTTCTTCCATTAATGTGGCGGTCCTCATGAGAGCCAGTTTCATCATAGCGCTTGATGGTTTTTGCGACTGCACATGAAGAAACTTTAAAAGTTCTTGAAATTTTCCAGATTGACTGACCATGTCTTAATGTAATGATGGACTGTCGTTTCTCTTTGCTTATTTGAGCTGTTCTTGCCATAATATGGACTTGGTCTTTTACCAAATAGGGCTATCTTCTGTATACCCCGCCTACATTGTCACAACACAACTGATTGGCTCAAACGCATTAAGAAGGAAATAAATTCCATAAATTAACTTTTAAGAAGGCACACCTGTTAATTGAAATGCATTCCAGGTGACTACCTCATGAAGCTGGTTGAGAAAATGCCAAGAGTGTGCAAAGCTGTCATCATGGCAAAGGGTGGCTATTGAAGAATCTCAAATATAAAATATATTTTGATTTGTTTAACAGTTTTTTGTTTACTACATGATTCCATGTGTTTTGATGTCTTCACTATTATTCTACAATGTCATTTAAAAAAAATATATGTTTACGAACAAAGAAAAACCCTTGAATGAGTAGGTATGTCCAAACTTTTGACTGGTAGTGTATTTGAACAAACAAACTCACATGCACACAGATTCCACTCATACTCATCTCACAGACTGGCAAACAATACCCACACATCAAACATGTCTACAAGCATGTACACACACAGCCACCCACAGTCACAGACAGACAGACAGACACCAACATACACAGAGACACACCAACATACACACCAACATACACACACACACACACCTGGATGACTACGTAGCGAGGCGGGTCTCGTGCCATGGCGCTGAACTCTGTCACCAGCTCCTTGAACTTAGGCCTGCTGTCTGGTTCAATCATCCAGCCTGTGTATCAAACGCACACACAGGTCACCACAGGTCATCACCATGGTAATATAACCCATAAAAACATACGTAGGTCTGAACTATACTAATCAATGAAATACATTTAATTTGTGTTGCGCTTTTTAAAAAGACATGAATGGATGAGTCTTTTCCATTTATTTGGAGTTTAGGCATATGAGCTGTGTCTACAAACTCAGATTTTGGGGTGATCCGCCCATCTAAGAGGTAAACTCTTAAAGGGAACTCCCCATTCTGTTTGTATGGAAGAAACTATACAGTTCCAGTGCCACTCACACTTGACCATGATCATGTAGACGTCAATGGTGCAGATAAGGGGCTGGGGGAGCCTCTCGCCCCCCTCCAGCAGCTCTGGGATGTCTCGTGCCGGGATCAGGTCATAGGGCTTGGCCCCAAAGGTCATCAGCTCCCAAACAGTCACCCCTAATGAGATAGAGAGATACAGTTGCAGATAGAGATGGTTCCAAATGCTCCATCCAACATAAAAAACACTATAGTATACTATGGTATAAATGCTATAGTTTTCACTGTAGTGTTTTTGCAGACTTTACTGTAATATTCAACGTAGTATACTATAGTATTTACAGATTGTAGTATACTGTAGTATTTACTGTAGTGTTTTGCTGACTGTTCTATACACTGTAGTGTTTTTGCGGACATAAATGTAGTATTTAGTATAGTGTTTTTGTTTTGTTATCTTTTACATAGAAGTGGAGGTTTTCTCCTTCAGGAAACGTATTGAAGAAATACTAAAATAGCTATTTTCTATTACCTGTAGGGAACACAACATGGTCTATATTTGGCATGTAGGTTTCTCACTTATGGGTGGCACAAATTGTGATATGGGGGAGGGGAATTGGCAGGGTATATGCAAATGCTACAATTTTGCATTTACTATAGTTTAAAAAAGTGCAATGTTTTTGCGGACATTACTGTAATATTTACTAAAGTGTTTATTTGCTGATATACTGTAGTAGTTACTGTAATATTCTACAGTATACTACAACATTCTATAATAAGTACTACACATGATCGAGGGATACTACAGTGTGTAGTATAGTATTCTACAGTATACTACAGTATACTATAGAATTCTATAGTAAGTACCTTAGTATTCTATACTAAACTGTTTTTTTTTTTCATGTGGGATATTATGACAATAACACTCTATTCAAACTAGAAGGTAGTCTTTGAATGTTTGGTGCCAACATGGCGCCTGTTTAAATGTTATATCTCACACTCAGTTGACTTTATATAGAGCCATAGATAAACAGTTGTGGGCACTAAAAAGTGTGGTACAGGTTTTTTTAAACAAACTGTACCACACAAATTGCACACGCATTATGGCAATTGTACTGCCTATACGACTTAACTTTTTATTGCCCACAAATGTACAGAGGTACTGTTGAGTCTGAAATAATACATTCGACGTTGCTGTCTTAGTGAATTTTGAAATGCTTGGTGGCATTATTTATATATTAAGTATGGGTTAGAGTGGCTAGACTGACCGTAGCTCCACACATCACTCTGGTGGGTGAACTTCCTGTGGAGGATAGACTCCAACGCCATCCACTTAATAGGCACCTGAAGAGCACAGAGACATCAAACACACGTAGACATTACATTGAGTGTTGAAAACATTAGGAACACCTTCCTAATATTGAGTTGCACCCCTTTTGCCCTCAGAACAGTCTCAATTCGTTGGGGCCTGGACTCTACAAGGTCTAGAAAGCATTCCACCGGGATCCCTCAGTTGTGTCAAGTTGGCTGGATGTCCTTTGGGAGGAGGACCATTCTTGATACACACAGGAAACTGTTGAGCGTTAAAAAAAACCAGCAGCGTTGCAGCTCTTGACACACTCAAAACAGTGCGCATGGCAACTACTACCATACCCCATTCAAAGGCACAAATATTTTGTCTTGCCCATTCACCCTCTGATGGCACAAATACACAATCCATGACTCAATTGTCTCAGGGCTTAAAAATCTTTCTTTAACCTGTCTCCTCCCCTTCATCTTAAAAAAAATAATGTTTTAACCTTTATTTAAACAGGGATTCACCATTGAGACCAGGGTCTCTTTCGCAAGGGAGCCCTGCACATACAATTCATAGACAAAAATCCAATAAAAATCAGATCAGTACAAAAACAAACTAAAATACAGCACAACAAACAATAAAGAAAAACAGCAAAATCCCCCCGCAAATAGTTCCCCAATTAATATTTTAAGTTGCCCAAGCGGCATCAGAGCGCCCAATTGCAGTGTATTTTGCAGTTGGTTCCAGCAATGATGTGCATTAAAACTAAAAGTGAATTTACCTAATTCGGTGGAGACCCGAGAAACCTCAAGAGTTAACCAACCCTGTGAGCGGGTTTGGCATCTCATGTTGTTTTTTTTATACTGTAACAACAAAGTTAGTTAAGTTGGAAGCCTGTGTAGTAGGGCTTTGTAAACAAAAAGGGAGTGATAAATTGATCTACAGGACTTTAATGAGGACCAGCCAACATTTTGATACAGGATGCAGTGGTGAGTATTAAAACTGTCACCAGTGATAAAATGAATGGCGCTATGGTAAACGGCATCCAAAGTTTAAGAGTAGTGGCTGCTGCAATCTGGTAAATGGTGTCACCATAATCATGAACTGGCAGGAAAGTTGACTGTACAATTTGCAAATTACGGAGAGGCAAGAACTATTTCTAAAAAATAAGCCCACTTTAAATCTTAGCTTTTTAACTAACTCATCCGTATTTGTTTTTTAAACATTAAGTCTTTGTCAATCCAAATGGCCAGATATTTGTAGGCGGGAACCTGATCAATGGGAGCACCATCTAGGGCTGGGCGATATGGCCCAAATTTCATATCACAATCTTTTTCACATTTTTGATGGTATTTGCTGTTATTTTATGTTTTGGAATAATAATGGTTCTAAATATGCTTTATGAGAAGTTCATGACCCTAGGGTGGAAACACATACATTATACGTGATTTCAATGGGGCTTTCTCTATTCTGAATGTTGTATACTGTTCAATCCAACTTCAAAACAAAAATAATTTTCTGCATTTCCTGCACTTTTGTTATTATTTCCACACTGTGCCCCGCACAGCTGCATAATATGTGCCAAAAATCTAGGCCTAGTTAATTAAACTGTTGGAATCATGGAAATAGAATGATTAATCTAATTATATAGTTGGAATCTAGTGGGCAGCACCCTACATTATTGTTTGACATGACAATGAATGAATAAGCCAGGGAGGAATTATTGACAGGGTAGGAACCTAAGTGTTGGTCAGTGTTTCCAGGGGACTCTAATTATAGGTTACATTACATGGTTTATCACCTCATGCTTCGTCTATTCTTCTCTGATTTGGAAGATACCGTTGCACAAACATGGTTATCTAAGCCTACACCATTACTGGTACCTGGCTGTGTTAGCTAGCTACGTTTGCGCTGACTCAGTACATTTAGCAAGCTAGCTAGCAAGCTAACTAACGATTAGCGGCTAACACTATTTATTTTAGCTAGAACTTGCTAAGAAAAGACAAACTAGCAGACAGTAAGATACACAAAGTAATGTTGTAATTATAGAACGCTTGTAGAAAGCAGCCTCCTTATCACCAACATCTTTCTGCATATGACTATGCAGACTGCAGAATGAACGGTATGAAAGTGCTCGTGACTCCTTGGTCGAGCAACTGCTCGCTCCTTGAGTGACAGGGGGCAGAGCTTGGTGTGGGAAGGAACAGGAGGAGAGGGAGAAAGACGATTCATGTAGCAAATGGAGTAAACCATAAACGCGACAGAGTTGCATATGACATTTAACAAAACAAACATTTAAATACCATTATAGAAGATAAAGTAAAAACCCAAACAGGTTCCAGCACTAGAACCATCCAATGAATAAATATGTAATCCATCTGAAACATTATTGCGAGAACTAAAGAACAACATCAGAGCTGCCAACTTTTACGCATTTCACCCTCTTCGCACGCTCTCACCGCACACCTCCTATATCTCACGAATTGAAAAGTACTGCTTTTCTTTTTCTAATTAGTCCATTATAGTCAGCGCATTAACTTTTAAACTGTTCTCCAAATAGTTTTGAAATCGGAGCATATCCGCCTGCAATTTAACATCACGAGCAGAATCTCTATCATTGTCCTGTTTTGCCACAGCACTATGAACCTCGGATTATTGAAGCATATGATTGGTCTAGTTATGTTATGTTAGGGATCAAGGGGATTGGATGCATGTTTTAAAGAAACGCCCATCAAGATTCGAGTGGAACTGAATGGAGAGAGAGAACGTTATCCGCTGAGTTTATAAAACTGTAAAAATAGCAGCACGGTAGCGCTGTTTTATGTACAATGTCAACTAAATGTAATTGCTGTTACTCCAGCCCCTATTGCAGAATGCAGCCTTTTGACAGCATGTCTTATACAAATGTGCAGTAGTCCCCTAGTTTGGTGATTGGCATTTAGGCTGTGACAAAGTAAAGGCAGCAGACAGACCTAGAGTATGTTTTAGCAGGGAAGTTTGGTAGGGTGACCTGCTTTGTAACTATGAAAATCATCCTGTCAAACAGATTGTGAACGCAAAAGTGTATGTTTTATTCTAGAGGGGGGACAATAAATAGAAACATAATTTGGTTAGGGTGTAGGGGCAGATTGATGCAATATTGTTTTCAGGAGATTTTATTATCTATTTGCTTTATTTAGTCTGATCAGTGGAACAATTCTCATTTTTAACAATGGGCAACAATATAGGGTAATTACTCTGCTTGTCAGCAAGAACACTACTGTTATTCCCCACACTTATTTTATGATTCCACGTCTTCCCAATTTTGCCAGTATAATCACATATTTGAAATCTGATATGCATACTTGTGTCTTTGAAAATTTATTATATGAGGCTATGATTTTTTTTCAGCCATTCATGGACAGTTTTGAATAAGTCATACAAATAAGCATTGGATATTAAATGCTCCAGGAATCAAATATAATTTTCGACATTTTAGGGGGACTCAACTCATAAACACACCATATTTTGTCTATGAAGAGTAAGATTATGGCAAGGATCTTCAACTAGTAGGCATAATCCACCTGAATATTGATGTTCATTAGACTTTTCTTGAAGGTTGGGTGATTTTGAGAAATTAATTGTTATAACAAGAACATTTGTAAACACCCAGCACTTGGGCAACATCAGGGGTGGCCTACCCTCCTGGGGAGCAAGCAGGATTTTCTTTCAGCCCTATTTTAAAGAGATAGTTTACCCAAAATACAAAGTGTTTGTGTCCTTACCTTGAAAGCAGTCTATGGACAAGGAGAATACAGTCTATGATTTGGTTACACACTGCCATCAGCTATTAATATTAGTATTTCCTGTGCAGAGCTCTGGTGTAGTGGTAACACTCCCCGGTATGTGTCACATACAGCTTTCCACCTGAGAACAGGGATCAATCCCAGCACCCAACCTTCCCAATGTTTCTCCCATTTTCCTGTCTCCCCATCTCATTTAATTACTGTCTGAATAAAGTGTCAACCAACCCAAAACTATTAGCAACGTATGCAACAGTAGTCCTAAATACACCTGACCTGTGGTCATAGGCCTAAGCCATGTCAGAATATGTAGAATTGCAGGAAATTGCCACAACTAGGGGTTGTGCCATTGGGCAATGAAATTCACATAGCAAATCTCACTCCAAGCTTTCTTCAAAAGTTGGCAGCCCTGCAAGATGTATTTAGTCTTTCCCGCATTAAGTACACGTTTTAAACCAATCAGGGCTTTCTGTAAGGTAACAAGGTCAGATTGCAGTTCTAACTTAGCCTGGTCAACAGTTGGGGCAATGGCATACATAACAGTGTCGTCTGCATACAGATTAATATTACAAGTTTTAACAGATAGACCAATATTACCAGATAGACTTACACTGATTGAAGTGGATTTTAAGTGGATTGAAGTGGACTTAACAGGTGACATCAATAAGGGATCATTGCTTTCACCTGGTCTGTCCATGTCATGGAAATAGCAGGTGTTCCTAATGTTTTGTACACTCATATAACACACACACATACAGTGCCCTACCTTGCCTCCGTCTGCATGGTACTCTGTTTCGTCTATGTCCAACAGGCGAGCCAGGCCGAAGTCAGTTATCTTGACGTGGTTGGGGTTCTTTACCAGGACGTTACGGGCTGCCAGGTCCCTGTGCACAAGACGTACATCCTCCAGGTAGCTCATCCCCTACACACACACACACACACACACAAAGGCACAAAATAAGAAATTTGACCCATAGACATTATGATCCCTTGCAGACGGACGAACTAATGAATGATGGACAGATGGATTGATCATATCTCTCGTAGCCTCACCTTCGCTATCTGCACACACCAGTTGAGGAGGTACTGGGAGCCGATGTGGTCCTTGTTCTCTCGGACGTAGTCCAGCAGGCAGCCGTAGGGCATGAGCTGGGTGACCAGCTGAACCGTGGAGGTCAGGCAGATACCCAGCAGACGACACACATAGGGACTGGCCACACCGGCCATTACGTACGCCTCCTATGTGTGTGTGTGTGTGTGTGTGAGAGAGAAAGAGCGAGAAAGAGAGTGATAGTCTGTGCGTAAGAGAAAGAGATAATTAATTAAAAGAAGGATGGGTTTATACTGAAACTCACATCCAGGATCTCCTTGTTGGCCTTGGGCGAGGTGTTCTCCCGCAAAACCTTGATGGCCACCGGGATCTTCACATTCTCCCCATCAGGAGCCCATGCCCCCTGGAATGAGTATATTCCCATTATAATTACACTATAATAACATAATAACTTTAGAAAAAGTTATAGTTTCAGTAAATGATGTTGACATCAATGTTAGATTCAATTTTAAACTATTCGATGAGGGTATCTTCTAGACAATGCAAAAGACAGACAGACAGATGCACGCACGCACACACACCTTGTAGACAGTGCCGAAGGCTCCTGAGCCCAGAACTCTTAGCTTCTTTAGCTCTGTCTCCTTGAGGATGCGCATCTGGGCCTGATTGGGCATGGCTCCGCTGGGAGTCAGAGGCTCCACCAGCTACAGACAGAGAGAAGACTCCCATCATGCTTGCAGTTAAAACTAGAACTGTAATCACTGACTCTTTCACTTAGAACTGAAACTTTTATCACGCTTTGTGTTACTACAAGACCTACAACATTGATAATGCCCTGGGAAACACTAATAACAGATTAACTACAGGGGTTAAAGAAGAAAAAGATCCCATGACTGAAACGTAAGTTGATGTCAGATTGATTGTCTGGGGCCAAATTAACCTCCCGTTTCATGTAAAAAAGGCATGACCATCATGTTCTTAGGGAAAGAGGATCATTTTGTACCTGTATTAAACTTGACCAATTCTAGTCCTATTCAATATATTAAAATAAATATATGAATCCATATGAAGGAAATCCGTCGCAGTGACAGAGAACTTTAACCCCTGTAACTATAAAACAGACAGCTTATTAACACGTTGTATGATCTACCTATTGATATTACAAATAGATAATTTACAAGCTTCACATGAATCATTTTCCAAAATCTGTCTTTTGAACTACAACCTCCATGATGCTTCACGCCAGCCCCATGTGTCATGGCAGTGCCCACACCCACCTCATGCTCCTGGAGGATCCTCCTCAATGTCTCCTTCCTTTTGAGCTGTTTCTGTCGGCGTAGGTAGAACACCAGCAGACCCAATAGGATGAGGAAGAGCACCGCCCCGCCCACCGCCGCCGCTATCGACGTGCCCGGCCTGGAAAGATAGAGAGCAACATTCACATTCATCAAGGACCTACTACTTTTATTACTGCTACTACACATTCATAAAACTCTTGGCTTCCTTGTGCTTTTTTTGTGAATGCATTGAAGCAGATGAAGTAATCCTCGACGAACAGAACAGAAGGCTCAAAGATGACGCTGGAGAACTTAAGTTATAGAGCAGGAGAGATGAAAGATTTTATTTTTTACGACAGTTGGAAAAGAGAGAATGGGAGAGAGTTGGATAGAGGGGAGAAACAGCAGCAAAGTGGTGAGTGTGGTTTGAAAAAATTTATAATTTGAAAGACAATGGGATATCAGAACATAACAGATATTTGTGATGGAAAACGTTACCCTGTTTTAGTATGGATGGGGCAGCCTCTTTCATCCTTCTGAGTGCACCTAAGAAAGAGAAAGCAGCATTAGCATTGTGCAGTTTGGTGGTGGTGTGTGTGTGTGTGTTTATGTGTTCACGTACCTGTTTGTGTGTGTGTATATCTCATGTCATATCTCTGTGTGTGTTTAAGTTTGTGTGTGTGTATGTGATCACATGCCTGTGTGTGTGTGTCTGAACTGTGTGTGTGTGTATATGTGTGTGTTCACATGCCTGTTTGTGTGTTTGTTCACACGCCTGTTTGTGTGTGTATGTCTCATGTCATATCTGTGTGTCTGTTTAAGTTTGTGTGTGTGTATGCGATCACATGCCTGTGTGTGTGTGTGTGTGTGTGTGTGTATGTGTACACTCACGAGAGTGTGCAGTTGGTGTTGCAGGAGAGGCAGTGGCCCGTGGCATTGCTGTATTTCCACACAGTGTGCTGCTCCTCCTTCAACCCACTGGGACATTTCTCCACACACACCTCCCCATCCTGGTAGTGCAGGCAATCTGTACATTGGTGGGCCCCCTATAGGTAAGACAAAAGAGGGGCATAGATTCACACACACACACACACATATAGTATTTACACACACACATATAGTAAAAAGTATTTGCCCCCTTTCTGATTTTCTCTATTTTTGCATATCTTTGATACTGAATGTTATCAGCTCTTCAACCAAAACCTAATATTAGATAAAGGGAACCTGACTTTACAAATAACAAAAAAAAGGTATAATTATTTTATTTATTTAATTAACAAAGTTACGCAACACTTAATTCCCCTGTGTGAAAAAGTAATTGCACCCTTACACTCAATAACTGGTTGTGCCACCTTTAGCTGCAATGACTGCAACCAAATGCTTCCTGAAGTTGTTAATCAGTCTCTCACATCGCTGTGGAGAAATTTGGTTCCACTCTTGCATGCAGAACTGCTTTAACTCAGCGACATTTGTGGGTTTTCAAGCATGAACCGCTCGTTTCAAGTCCTACCACAACATCTCAATTGGTCTGGACTTTGACTAGGCCATTCCAAAACTTCAAATCTGTTGCTTTTTAACAATTTTCATGTACACTTGAGTGTTTTCATGAACCCAGCTGCGGTTCAGCTTCAGCTCACAGACGGATGGTCTGACATTCTCCTGTAGAATTCTCTGATACGGAGCAGAATTCATGGTTCCTTCTATTAAGGCAAGTCATCCAGGACCTGAGGCAGCAAAGCATCCCCAAACCATCACACTACCACCACCACCATGCTTGACCATAGGTATGAGGTTCTTACTGTGGAAGTAAGGTTCTACCTGTATCAGAGAATTATACAGAAGAATGTAAGGCCATCCGTCTGTGAGCTGAAGCGGAAGCGCACACAATCAAGTCAACATGAATATGGCTTAAAAGCAACAAATTTGAAGTTTTAGAATGGCCTAGTCAAAGTCCAGACCTAATCCCAATTGAGATGTTGTGACAGGACTTGAAATGAGCGGTTCATGCTTGAAAACCCGCAAATTTCGCTGAGTTAAAGCAGTTCTGGATGGAAGAGTGAGACAAAATTCCTCCACAGCGACGTGAGAGACTGATCAACAACTACAGGAAGCCTTGTTGCATAACTTTGTTTATGAAATATATTAAATAAGTATGTAATTGTTTTGTTATTTGTTCACTCAGGTCCCCTTTATGTAATATTAGGTTTTGGTTGACGATCTGATAACATTCAGGATCGAAAATATGCAAAGGTAGAGAAAATTAGAAAGGGGGCTAATACTTTTTCACAGCACTATAAATGAAAACACACACACACACAAAAACTCATGAATGAAAATACACACAAACAGATGAAAATAGATCAAACACACGCACAAACACACACACACACACGTCTTACCGGGCCTAGGCAGGAGGCAGAGCCATTGATGGGGCGACACTCTGAGTGACAGGCGCCACAGACTCTCTCGGAGCTGTCAAAAAACTCCCTCGGGGACCTGCACCAAATACATCATCATCACCATCACTATCATCACCATTGTCACAGTCATTATCACCGACATCATTATCATAATCGTCATCATCACAATCATCACCATCATCGCCTTAGTTACACATCCAAACAGTCCACACACTCTACCTGCATCTCAAGATGATCTCAAGATTACCATTTAAAATAAAATCCCTATAGACGGGTTGCCTGACAACGTCATAAAAATTATGTGTGGGGAATCGTAGGTGGCTCTTTTAAACTAGTTGTATCTTATTCTTGATACCATATCTTGTTTTGAGGTGTTTTGACTTATTTATTAATGTTTATGCTAATATGGCAAAAGTTTACTAGCTAGCTAACCAACAACTGTAGCGATGTATTTGAGAAACAACAAGTGCTTATTGTGCAAATTGTTTTGTGTTTTCAATAAACATTTGGAGACAAAAGGTAGTTTACATGTTGTCAATAATCCTTTGAATGTAAGCCAACCCTGTCTATTTTTCCTCAAAGTTGTGCACGAATCAGTTTTGTTGCTAGACAACCCACCCGTCTATACAGTGCCCTACTTTTGACCAGAGCTACATAATGCAGGGTCGTGTTCATTAGACACCAAACAGAATAAAACAGACTGAAACAGGGAGGAACTACCAGGGCTGGATTTATGTTTTCTGTTGCAAAACATTTAACATTATCCATTGTGTGTCCTAATGAACAACACACACACTACATATGCTCACACACACACACACACAAAACAAACACACACACACACACACACACACACACACACACACACTTTCACACTCGCTGCTGCTACTCTGTTTATTATCTATCCTGATTGCCTTGTCACTTTTACCCCAACTACATGTACACTACCAGTCAAAAGTTTGGACACACCTACTCATTCAAGGGTTTTTCTTTATTTTTACATTGTAGAATAATAGTGAAGACATCAAAACCAAAAAAGTGTTAAACAAATCAAAATATATTTTATATTTGAGATTCTTCAAATAGCCACCCTTTGCCTTGATGACAGCTTTGCACACGCTTGGCATTCTCTCAACTAGCTTCATGAGGTAGTCACCTGGATTGCATTTCAATTAACAGGTGTGCCTTCTTAAAAGTTCATTTGTGGAATTTCTTTCCTTCTTAATGCGTTTGAGCCAATCAGTAGTGTTGTGACAACGTAGGGGTGGTATACAGAAGATAGCCCTATTTGGTAAAAGACCAAGTCCATATTATGGCAAGAACAGCTCAAATAAGCAAAGAGAAACGACAGTCCATCATTGCTTTAAGACATGAAGGTCAATATGGAAAATCTCAAGAACTTTGAAAGTTTCTTCAAGTGCAGTTGCAAAAACCATCAAGCGCTATGATGAAACTGGCTCTCACGAGGACCGCCACAGGAATGGAAGACCCAGAGTTACCTCTGCTGCAGAGAATAAGTTCATTAGAGTTACCAGCCTCAGAAATTGCAGCTCAAATAAATGCTTCACAGAGTTCAAGTAACAGACACATCTCAACATCAACTGTTCAGAGGAGACTATGTGAATCAGGCCTTCATGGTCGAATTGCTGCAAAGAAACCACTACTAAAGGACACCAATAAGAAGAAGAGACTTGCTTGGGCCAAGAAACACGAGCAATGGACATTAGACCGCTGGAAATGTGTCCTTTGGTCTGGAGTCCAAATTGGAGATTTTGGTTCCAACCGCTGTGTCTTTCTGAGACGCGGAGTGGGTGAATGGATGATCTCCGCATGTGTATTTCCCACCATAAAGCATGGAGGAGGAGGTGTTATGGTGTGGGGGTGCTTTGCTGGTGACACTGTGATTTATTTAAAATACAAGGCACACTTAACCAGCATGGCTACCACAGCATTCTGCAGCGATACACCATCCCATCTGGTTTGGGCTTAGTGGGACTATCATGCTCAGCATATGTGGGAACTCCTTCAAGACTGTTGGAAAAGCATTCCAGGTGAAGCTGGTTGAGAGAATGCCAAGTATGTGCAAAGCTGTCATCAAGGCAAAGGGTGGCTATTTGAAGAATCTCAAATATAGAACATATTTTGATTTGTCTTTTTTGGTTACTACATGATTCCATATGTTATTTCATAACCCCCTGTAGCTCAGGTGTTATGTCCGGTGTGTTTGATACAATAGTGGCGAACAAACAAAGTGAGAGCATATAATACATATGTCGACCATAGCTAAGGGAAATGCTGGCATCCTAAATACTTGTTATTCATTTTTTAAATTCATTTAATTTGTTCTCCCCTGGAAAAACTAGGCTACAGCGGTGCGTATATTTTATCATCATGTCAACGTATTATCACCACTGGACATGTAGTCTACAGATGCCTGCCTCATCACCAAGCGAGGAAGATATTTTGCAATCATCAAATGCGGTGAACATTATGACTTGGATAGGTTTTAGCCTGGTCGAGGCGGAAGAGAGTGAGAACAGGGTGGATCAAGTCAGGAAGTGTTCAACCCCCAGCTTGGAAGCTCGTTGATACCCTGATTGTTTTGCTGTATTTAAAAGTGTGTACTGTAGCTGTGTCGCAGGATCAATCAGTATCAGCTCTACTTATGTCTATTGTTGAACTACCGATCTGACTACAACTTTTTTGCATACGGTATATCATTTGTTTTGGGGTGATTTACAGTGAGGGAAAAAAAGTATTTGATCCCCTGCTGATTTTGTACGTTTGCCCACTGACAAAGACATGATCAGTCTATAATTTTAATGGTAGGTTTATTTGAACAGTGAGAGACAGAATAACAAAAAAAAAATCCAAGTCATTAAGGTTTCGAGGCTGACGTTTGGCAACTCGAACATTCAGCTCCCTCCACAGATGTTCTATGGGATTAAGGTCTGGAGACTGCCTAGGCCACTCCAGGACCTTAATGTGCTTCTTCTTGAGCCACTCCTTTGTTGCCTTGGCCGTGTGTTTTGGGTCATTGTCATGCTGAAATACCCATCCATGACCCATTTTCAATGCCCTGGCTGAGGGAAGGAGGTTCTCACCCAAGATTTGACGGTACATGGCCCCGTCCATCGTCCCTTTGATGCGGTGAAGTTGTCCTGTCCCCTTAGCAGAAAAACACCCCCAAAGCATAATGTTTCCACCTCCATGTTTGATGGTGGGGATGGTGTTCTTGGGGTCATAGACAGCATTCCTCCTCCTCCAAACACGGCGAGTTGAGTTGATGCCAAAGAGCTCGATTTTGGTCTCATCTGACCACAACACTTTCACCCAGTTCTCCTCTGAATCATTCAGATGTTCATTGGCAAACTTCAGACGGCCCTGTATATGTGCTTTCTTGAGCAGGGGGACCTTGCGGGCGCTGCAGGATTTCAGTCCTTCACGGCGTAGTGTGTTACCAATTGTTTTCTTGGTGACTATGGTCCCAACTGCCTTGAGATCATTGACAAGATCCTCCCGTGTAGTTCTGGGCTGATTCCTCACCGTTCTCATGATCATTGCAACTCCACGAGGTGAGATCTTGCATGGAGCCCCAGACCGAGGGAAATTGACAGTTATTTTGTGTTTCTTCCATTTGCGAATAATCGCACCAACTGTTGTTACCTTCTCACCAGGCTGCTTGGCGATGGTCTTGTAGCCCATTCCAGCCTTGTGTAGGTCTACAATCTTGTCCCTGACATCCTTGGAGAGCTCTTTGGTCTTGGCCATGGTGGAGAGTTTGAAATCTGATTGATTGATTGTTTCTGTGGACAGGTGTCTTTTATACAGGTAACAAACTGAGATTAGGAGCACTCCCTTTAAGAGTGTGCTCCTAATCTCAGCTCGTTACCTGTATAAAAGACACCTGGGAGCCAGAAATCTTTCTGATTGAGAGGGGGTCAAATACTTATTTCCCTCATTAAAATGCAAATCAATTTATAACATTTTTGACATGCGTTTTCTGGATTTTTTTGTTGTTATTCTGTTTCTCACTGTTCAAATAAACCTACCATTAAAATTATAGACTGATCATTTCTTTGTCAGTGGGCAAACGTACAAAATCAGCAGGGGATCAAATCCTTTTTTCCCTCACTGTATACCGTGTTGATTTATGTGTTCAGTTGTAGTTGAAGACTACTGAGATTTCTGATACTCTTTATTGTGTGTGAAATGGGAGTTTATTGCAATCTGATTGTATGAATTAAACTGGTTTTACGCATCACTTTAAGGAAGGACAATTGCGTGACTGAGGTTACTTGAGTTCACTTTAACTCATTTACCGGGCTGGACTCTTTTAAGGCCTGAGGTACGAGACTTTTCTTGAGGAATCAGAGATCATTGTGTTGTGACATTATTATGTGTGATATCATTTATTTTGGTAATACAACCAACACAAAAGTACACAGTTGTTTTGAAGTTATTTACAATGTTTTAAGGGTTTATGAAAAGTGTATTTCCATACTGACTTTTACATGAGTCCTTTGTATTGGTGTAAACTTGACGGAACGGAAGGGACTAATTTCCTCACAAACAAAAAGGAGAAATCAATATTTTCTCTGGTATGCACAACCTACCTGGCACCCCTAACAAACAATAACCTCAAGTCAAAACCATTACAGTGCGAGTAGTCAGCTATATTGTGTGCACAGACCGTGGCATGAGTGAGGCGAGGTTGTAGATATAATGGGTTATCGTAAACTATGGAGCTAGACAGGAGTATCTAGGTTTATGCTTTGGTGTGATTTACCGTCTGAATGTTACATGGGTGGACCAGTTATCGATCTCCTTCCAAAACGTGGTTACATTTGTATAAACTTCAAGTATTACTGACTACAACCCTCCCTAAAATGGTTTCACCCAAATCAGGCAACCCTGTTTAGCTTTTGCACTATGGCTAGGCTAGGCAGTAGGCTTGTATTTGAGGTGATAATCTGTGAGGTGATAATATTTTATTTGCTTTGTGATTTGTCAAAAACAGTAAACGACTTGTCTAGTCATGTGTTCCGGTTCTTGTATACACTGTAACGAGCACATCAAATATTTGAAATATGCTGAAAAGTGGCCAAACTAAATTGATCTTATTCGGGCAATGGGCGCAGCCATCTTTGACTTTGTTTATTTGCGTCTTATAGTGAATGGCTTGTCAAACATAAACAAACATGGCTGCCATCATAAAGAATTTAGCCACTGTTAGCTTAGCTGACACATATCTCTTTTCTAAACAATATTACATTTCTCCCTTGTGCTCACCAGAGATGTGGTACATTGTAAACAAGTCTAGCTGTTAGGTCACTAACTTTTGTTTTAGTTTTTTGTCAGCGCAACCTGTTATTTAGACTGGTTTATGGAATGAGTTTGGCTGAGGATGTGTTCCGTGTGATGCTTAGATGATGAAGTTTGCATTTATCTTTTACAATAAAAGGTGAAATTGAGGAATTACATTTTGAAGACCTTTATTTTCCATCAGTACAAAACATTGTTTAGATGCTTTTCAGACAACACTGCTGTGTAGACACGTTTGTTGCATCATACGTTCTGTTGCTACTATTCCAATCACATAATTGCGATGGTATGCTACAGGGACCACTCAACAATCAGGAATATGTGATCGTACACGTCAAAAGGTTAATCATAGATAACTAACTAAAAACTAACTAGGTTTCCCCTTTTATCTGTCGATTAACACTAGAAGGGCCGAGAGCATCATTTTAAGGTCACATTAATTTAACAATTTAATTACTCTGCCATTTATGGTCATGTCCCCCCATCCTTGACTTTTCCTAAATAAGTCTATTCATTTGAATTTCGCTATCACAAACAGAGTTTGTGTTATAAGCAGTTTTAGGAGGACATGTAATTTTCCCCCCTTCCTTCACCTAACAGTAGGCTGCCATCTGACAATGGCCCATCAAAACTACACCTAAACTATATCGAAAACTAATTTCACACAGGCCTATAATAATAAATATAGGCTAAAGGCAAGATGACAATAGTCTGATGGATGACAATATTATAAATTGCCTTGTGAATGAAGAGACTGCAGCGCAGCGTGGGTAGCCTAATTGACAAAGAAGGGAACTCAGCTTGCCAAAAAGCAAATGTTTTAAATCATGCTTCATGCAGGTAAGACGTTTTGATTTCATAACCTATTGGAAAGAGAAGGTTCTAAGGTTCCTAAAACACATACATTTGCCAAACAACTCTTTAAAATTAAGGCATGGGCTCTATTTCAAAATATAACCGCTATTCCATGCATTCTACACATCAGCACTTGCAGCAGCATAGCCATAGGGTAGCCTAGCGGTTAGAGCTTTTGGCCAGTAACCGAAAGGATACTAGTTCGAATCCCCGAGCCGACTAGGTGAAAAATCTGCACTTAACCCTAATTGCTCCAGGGTCGCCGTCAATAATGGCTGATCCTTAGCCGTGACCCGACTCTCCGAAGGCGTTTCAGGGGGAGTGGGATATGCATAGAAAAAACACATTTCCATTTCACACCACACAATTGTACATGTGTGAAACAGGCCAAATATAAGCACCCCCTATTTGACCTTTTTAATAAAACCCAAAATATGATATTCTGTTCTTTTTAAATGGAATTCATTAGTTGTTTAACCCCCTAAGGTTGATGTCCGCACCCCTGGATTGGATGCGTCTCAATCCACCGCATCCGCCTATGTAACAGTTCCGCATCTGCGGTGAAAGGTGACAGAGCTAGAGTGGTGTTTGTCAGACCATGAGACTCTCACGAACACAATGTTCTCTGTTTTGCTCTACGACCCCCACAAGTGTCAGGAGACTCGTCTGAAGTCAGTACAGCCAATCTGCCCCCCCCCCCCCCAATGTTCATCTCCCAAGACAAATTGGCTAGCCATAGCAAGCTAGCTAAAAGTCCATGAATGTTTCATGTGTGTTTCCGACATGCCCCCAAATTAATATACTTGGTTCACAGTTGGTTTAGATATTTTAACCTGCATGTCATGATGGACAAAATCAACATGTGCGCGATGGCGCATGCGCGTACAAGCTGCTTTGGTCTGGATCAACCAAAGGAACCAGAGGGCAGATTCAACAATAAAAGCTTTTCGATTGATTGGCTAAATGCTTTATCATTTCTGCATTTGAATTGATTTGCTCTGACATACAGTACACTCCCCGTTCATTTTTGACCATCTCCATTTTGTGGATGCAAAAGATGGCAATATTTGCATTTCATGGCACAAAATGCACCTTTTTCATAACATACAGCTGTTACAAACGGCACCCCATTTGTCTCTCATGCCTGAAAGATATCGCACTCCTCCACACACTCCTACTTATTCTCCAGCCATAGAAGCCGGGAGAACGTGTGTGTATGTGCGTATGTGTGTGTGACAGGTTGTTTGACCGTCTCTCACCCCTGATAGATGTCGCACTCCTCCACGCACTCCTTCCCGCGCTGGAATTTCACACAGGCCACACACTGACTGGGCCCTGGCCCCCAGCAGCCCTTAGCACACAGCAGGTGACACACACGGCCCTCCACCACTAGGAGGAGAAGACCAGAATAATTAAATTAGATTAAATAAACTTTACTGATCACCAAGGACACAGCTTTTGGTGCCACATGGAAAGTACTAACATATTCACACACATGAATGCACACACACACACGAACACACACACATGCTGATGTTTCTTCCCTCTCAACACACAACCACCATACACACACAGGCATAACCATCCACAAAATGTGCATATTAGCATGCACGTGTGCTGCTTGTTTTCATTCATGAATGTGTGCGTGTTATGCATACCACACTCCTGGGGGTCCTGGTTGGCATTGACGATTCGGTGGGGCCCCTGGGTGGGGTGCAGCAGGGTCCCCCAGGGCAGGTCCTGGGTGTAGCAGAGTTGGGGGTTGTTGTGGAGCAGGACCAGACCCCCACTGATGCTCCTGAGCGAACGCAGACCCAGAGAACGGATCTGTATTGACTGGACCCCCAGAGAGAACACACCCCTAAAGGAAAGAGAGGAGGTAGTACATTTATTAATTTAGTAGTATGGGCAAAGACACCTGCGCTGTGAGCTAACACACTGTAAGTAAAGTTATAATCTGCAGCGCGACTTATGTTGTAATTTTTTTTGTTTTACAATTTCCGTGATGAGGGACTTTAGTTTAACAGCAGATTTAGTTACAGCACAATACACGCACCACACACAATGCAATCGGTATAGTATCGGAGGTTTAGTATCGGAGCTCCCGTTATTTAGAACATTTAGAGCTATTTTTGGGAGTGAAAAATGTTGGAGGAGAAAATGGGGTTAAGAGGAGAGAGAACGATGGTAGAAGAAGGGTAAGGGGAGGAGTGAAAGAGTAGATAGCTTGACAGAAAACTGAAAGCAAAAAACGCCATAAAGTACAAGAACATTCTCAGATCAACACAGCATGCTCCAGTAGCAATTGTACAGACTTCCATCCACTCTAACCTGCAATATTTACAATATCACCCTGCAGCCTCAGGCAGCTGTGCTAGGTAATCATTAGCTTTTTGAACCCAAAGTTCATGGGATCCTTGACCAGACAGACATACATATAACATGGACACATATAATGAGGACAAACCTAGACAGGCAGGCAGGCAGACAGATAAAGAGACAGCGAGACAGGTAGATAGACATAATTGACATTGACTGGCAAGACAAACAGACAGACAAAAAGTATTATATAAGACAGACTTCATGAAACATTAGTAGACTGAAACTAGTGAACAGACGGACTGGCCGGCGGACTGACAAACAGACATAATACTGTAATGACATGGCGGAGACAAACAGACAGATGGATGGTTTTACAGACTTACTTATAGAGCATCCTTCCTCGGATCACTTTCAGGTTCTCAAACACACTCAGGTTAGTCCAGTTGGCTGGCCACGCATCAATGTACAGATATCCTGTAGGGAACAGAAACACACACCACACACGCATACAGAATCAATGCTGTCCCCCAAAAAAGTAAAGAGTTTGTGTGTGTAAATGGCTGTGCATGTTTGTGCGTGTGAGTGCATGTGTGCGGGTACGTGTGTGCATTTGTGCGAGTGTGTGTGCATTCCTTTTATATGCACATGCATGCATGTACGTATATATGCGTGTGCGCGCATGTGTGTGTATGTGTGTTTACGTGTACATGCATGTGTATGCGTGTGTTCAGTACCTGTGATCTCCTCCAAATTCTTAAATGCATCCAGCTCACTGAGGGTCAGGCCTGTCATGTTAGCCAATGGGTCCCTGGACAAAGGAACACAGAGATCACACATGCGTGTGGTCAATATGGACATTAACACCATCATAACAACTCAACATGTGACAGCTAATGTGATGTGAGCTTTCAGGCATAAAATAGCTGCCATGACATCACCCAGGAGGGTGATACTGCTACACAATAGCCACTTGCCCATTATCAAATCAAATCAAATTGTATTTGTTACATACACGTGTTTAGCAGATGTTATTGCAGGTGTAGCGAAATGCTTGTGCTTCTAGCTCCGACAGTGCAGTAATATCTAACAAGTAATATCTAACAATTTCACAACATATACCTAATACACACAAATCTAAGTAAGGAATGGAATCACAGTTTTTTTCAATTGCTTAAGCACAATTTTGAAAACAGGGCCCGGTTTTTCAAACCCCTTCACACAATTAGCACAACACTACACCAAAGTAGCACAACACCTCAGATCATTTGCAAAATTGAACACTTTTGTCAAAACTATACAATGTCTTATAAAAACCTTATTTTGTCATCATAACATAAACCCAACCATCATATGGTCTGATTCTGTTTGAATCAGTTAAACACTCCTGTGCTCAACCTAAAACACTTTTAGCATTTACATAGAGAAAGTGTAAAAATAAATTCACCAACACCACATGACACCAATTGTGCAGACTAATGAAAATATGTATTTATTTTCATGTACTTAAGTCAGTCAATACTGAACATTTCAACAAAACATTCATAACAAAACATTTTCCAGTTTTCATACAGTATTACTGAACGTACCATTGTACTGTAAGCTTACAGTAATACTGTAACATAAATTACATATCCAGTTCAGTACCGAATAAAAAATAAAAATAATCTAAACATCTCTCCGCCTAGCTCGATCTGGCCACAGGGCCTCGTCAACATCACAGGCTATATTTTCATTTGCAAGGCAACGTGGGAAGAATCTTTTGGATTGACAAATCCACCCTTGTATGGATGCTGCTTCAATTTGATCACATGCTTCCACCGTAGCTTGAATGAGGGCCATCTGGACATAGGGCCGGAGATCATAAACCTTCCACCGCCATGCTGAGAATAACTCCTTGATGGGGTTTAGGAAGGGGGAGTTTGGTGGAAGGTATTGAACTGTAAATTGTGGGTGTTGATGAAACCAGTTTTGGACCAGAGCAGAACGATGGAAAGCTACATTGTCCCAGACGACAATGTATTGCATCTGGTCCCTTTGGTTTGCTGCTGTGATAATATTGTGTAATCTGTCTAAAAATGTAAGAATGAGGTCAGTGTTGTAAGGACCCAAGTTGGCATGGCGGTGGAGGACCCCATTCTGTGTAATGGCAGCACAAAGGGTAATGTTACCCCCACGTTACCCTGGTACATTGACAATAGCCCTGTGGCCAATTATGTTTCTTCCCCTTCTTCTCACTGTTGTCAGGTTAAATCCAGCCTCATCAATGTATATAAACTCATGCGGGACTTCCTCCGCATCCATTTGCAAAACTCTCTGAAATACAGCAAAAGATCACATTGTGTAGATCAATTTACTGTAGGTCTGCTATGTACAGTGTACAGTAAAAAGGTTATGTGTGCAGTACACAATACTACAGTCAATGAACAAAACGTACCACCACATATTCACGCCGCAGGCCTTTCACCCTGTCTGAATTTCTTTCAAATGGCACTTTATACAGTTGTTTCATCAGAATTTGATATTTTTTAAGGATACGGGCTATTGTTGACAGAGAGACCAGTTGGACATTATTGAAAATTCGGTGATCATTGACAATATGGGCTTGAATTTCTCTAAGTCTGATTGCATTATTGGCCAAAACGAGGTTTATGATCTCTCTCTCGCTCCTGTGTGAATATGGGGCCCTTCCCTCCTTGGTGTTCTCGACATTCAATCTTATGTTGGCCAAACAAAATACATGTAGCTTACTGTAAAATGATACAGGAATAGATACCAAAACTGTTGATATAGTACATGCAGTAAGCAATGGATTTTCTGTTGACAGAATATACGTTTCTCACCTGTGCTCTTGACGAAATGTCCGAACTATTGATGCCACCGTGTACCTGCTTAGGTTAGGCTGTACTCTCAGTCCAGCCTCCCTCAGTGTTAGTCCGTGGTTTATTACATGGTCCACAATTGTAGCAAAAATTTCGTTACACAGATTTGGTTGTCTTCTTCTTTGTGTATGTCCTACCCCTCCTCCAGGTCTTCCTCTCGCCCTTCATCTTCCTCTGACACCGTCAATTTTTTTTGAAGACAGGTGAACTTACCTGTTGCCTTTTTATAGTGCTTAAACCTGATCGGTGTGTCTACAATTAAGTACCAGTGTGTGTGCACACCTGGTGGCTGTGTTTAACCAATTGGTTAATGGGTGTGTTCATTTGAAAGCCTTTGCTTTGAAATTGCACGGAAATGACATCATGATACATTTCTGTGTCAAATGCATACAAGTGTGTTTAATATTTTTCAAAAAGTGTGAAGCTGACAATGTGCTTACAGTTGTGCAAATCTAGGCCAGTGTTTTGTTCTTTGAGTGTAAGGTTTTGCTAATTGTGGGAAAGTTTTAATTTTAGTGTGTAAGCAATTGAAAAAAACGAAGAATATATATATATATGGACGAGCAATGACAGAGCGGCATGGACTAAGATACAGTAGAATATTATAGAATACAGTATATAAATATGAGATGAGTAATGCAAGATATGTAAACATTATTAAAGTGACTAGTGTTCCATTTCTTAAAGTGGCCAGTGATTTCAATAGGCAGCAGCAGCCTCTAATGTGCTAGTGATGGCTTTTAACAGTCTGATGGCCTTGAGATAGAAGCTGTTTTTCAGTCTCTCAGTCCCAGCTTTGATGCACCTGTACTGACCTCGCCTTCTGGATGATAGCGAGGTGAACAGGCAGGGGCTCGGGTGGTTGATGTTCTTGATGATCTTTTTGGCCTTCCTGTGACATCGGGTGCTGTAGGTGTCCTGGAGGGCGGGTAGTTTGCCCCCGGTAATGCGTTCGGCAGACCGCACCACCCTCTGGAGAGCCCCGCGGTTGCGGGCGGTGCAGTTGCCGTACCAGGCGGTGATACAGCCCGACAGGATGCTCTCAATTGTGCATCTGTAAAAGTTTTAGGTGCCAAGCCACATTTCTTCAGCCTCCTGAGGTTGAAGAGGCTCTGTTGCGCCTTCTTCACCACACTGTCTGCGTGGGTGGATCATTTCAGTTCGTCAGTGATGTGTACGCCAAGGAACTTGAAGCTTTCCACCTTCTCCACTGCGGTCCCGTCGATTTAGATAGGGGGGTGCACCCTCTGCTATTTCCTGAAGTCCACGATCATCTCCTTTGTTTTGTTGATGTTGAGTGAGAGGTTATTTTCCTGGCACCACACTCCCAGAGCCCTCACCTCCTCCCTGTAGGCTGTCTCGTCATTGTTGGTAATCAAGCCTACTACTGTTGTGTCGTCTGCAAACTTGATGATTGAGTTGGAGGCGTGCCTGGCCACGCAGTCATGAGTGAACAGGGAGTACAGGAGGGGGCTGAGCACGCACCCTTGAGGGACCCCAGTGTTGAGAATCAGCGAAGTGGAGATGTTGTTTCCTACATTCACCACCTGGGGGGCGGCCTGTCAGGAAGTCCAGGACCCAGTTGCACAGGGCGGGGTTCAGACCCAGGACCTCGAGCTTAATGATGAGCTTGGAGGGTACTATGGTGTTGAATGCTGAGCTATAGTCAATGAACAGCATTCTTACATAGGTATTCCTCTTGTCCAGATGGGATAGGGCAGTGTGCAGAGTGATGGCAATTGCATCGTCTGTGGATCTATTTGGGCGGTAAGATAATTGAAGTGTGTCTAGGGTGACAGGTAAGGTAGAGGTGATCCTTGACTAGTCTCTCAAAGCACTTCATGATGACAGACGTGAGTGCTTCGGGGCGATAGTCACTTAGTTCAGTTACCTTTGCTTTCTTGGGTACAAGAACAATGGTGACCATCTTGAAGCATGTGGGGACAGCAGACTGGGATAGGGAGAGATTGAATATGTCCGTAAACACACCAGCCAGCTGGTCTGCGCATGCTCTGAGGATGCGGCTAGGGATGCCGTCTGGGACAGCAGCCTTGTGGGGGTTGACATGCTTAAATGTCTTACTCACGTTGGCCACGGAGGAGAGCCCAGAGTCCTTGGTAGTGAGCCGGGTCGGTGGCACTGTGTTATCCTCAAAGCGGGCAAAGAAGGTGTTTAGCTTGTCCGGAAGCAAGACGTCTGTGTCGGCGACGTGGCTAGTTTTCCTTTTGTATTCCATGATTGTCTGTAGACCCTGCCACATACGTCTCGTGTCTGAGCCATTGAATTGCGACTCCACTTTGTCTCTATACTGATGTTTTGCCTGTTTAATTGCCTTGCGGAGTGAGTAGCTACACTGTTTGTATTCTGCCATATTCCCAGTCACCTTGCCATGGTTAAATGCGGTGGTTCGCGCTTTCAGTTTTGCGCAAATGCTGCCATCTATCCACGGTTTCTCGTTAGGCTAGGTTTTAATAGTTACATTGGGCACAACATCTCCTATACACTTCCTGATAAACTCAGTCACCGATTCAGTGTATTAGTCTAAATTATTTTCGCAAGCTACCCGGAACATATCCCAGTCCGCGTGATCAAAACAATCTTTAAGCGTGGATTCACGCACGGGTACTTCCTGTTTGAGTTTCTGCCTATAGGAAGGGAGGAGCAAAATGGAGACATTGTCAGATTTGCCGAAAGGAGGGTGGGGGAGGGCCTTATAACCATCCCGGAAGATCGAATAGCAATGGTCGAGAATTTTTGCAGCCCGTGTACAACAGTCGATATGTTGATAGAACTTCGGCAGCCTAGTTCTCAAATTTGCTTTGTTAAAATCCCCAGCTACAATAAATGCAGCCTCAGGATATGTGGTTTCCAGTTTGAATAAAGTCCAGTGAAGTTATTTGAGGGCCGTCGTGGTATCAGCTTGAGGGGGGATATGCGTGACTATAACCGAAGAAAATTCTCTTGGGAGATAATACGGTCGGCATTTGATTGTGAGGTATTCTATGTCGGGTTAACAAAAGGACTTGAGTTCCTGTATGTTACTACAATTACACCATGAGTCGTTAATCATGAAACACACATCTCCGCCCTTCTGCTTCCAAGAGAGATATTTATTTATTTCTGCACTATGAACCCATCTGGCTGGACCGAGTTCGACAGAATATCCCGAGAGAGCCATGTTTCCGTGAAACAAAGTATGTTACAGGCCCTGATGTCTCTCTGGAAAGAAATCCTTGCCCTGAGCTCGTCGACCTTATCCAAAGACTGAACATTAGCGAGTAATATACTTGGAAGCGGTGGGTGGTGTGCGCGCCTCCTAAGTCGAACCAGCAGGCCGCTCCGAGTGCCTCTCCTCCGCCGGTGATGTTTTGGGTCAGCCGCTGGAATCAGTTCAATTGCCCTGGGGAGAGCAAACAAAGGATCTGCTTCGGGAATGTCGTATTCCTGGTCGTAATGCTGGTGAGTTACCGCCGCTCTGATATCCAATAGTTTTTCCCGGCTGTATGTAATGATACAAAACACTTTCTGAACTAATAATGTAAAAAATAATACATAAAAAAAACAAAATACCGCAAAGTGTCCTAAGAGCTAGGCAGTGCGTGCTAGTGCCAGAAAGGTTTGAAACCGAGAGATTCAGCAAGCGATTGCTTCCCGTGAGGAAGCGTGAATGTGGCAAGTTCTTCCATACTAGTTATTTACAGGAAGAAGTCCCTTGTTGACTCTTTCTGGTGTTAGCACGCAATGGCTTGCATGGAGATGGCACAATAATGGGCAAGAGGCTCGGACCTGATTTCTGGATTGAGCTTGCCTGTAAACTGAAAACCTCGCCCAGGTTGAACCCAGGTTTTTAGTGGCTGCTGGTAACAGACACATCCCCCTCTCTTAGTGGGCCATATATAAGGTAAAAAAGAGACGTAAAGCAGTTACCCTGTGAAGCTCTGAGGTAGGAAAGCCAGACTGCCATAGATCTTATTGCAGCCAGTGAACTGGGCCACGTTGGAGGAGCTCACCCAGGAGGAGCCCTGGAGATCACCCATGCCCAGCCCATAGCACACTGGAACACATATAGATACAGTCAGGGTGAATACGCACACATGCAAATGTTAACACACACACACACACACACACACACACACACCACCACCATCATAACACATACGAACTCAAACATAAAACACACACAAACCTTTTGGACATTCCCCTTCACACTTCTCACACTTCTGTGTCTGTGTCTCCTTGCCGTCAGGCTGGGTGATAATCACTTCCTGGTTAGCTTTAGGACACACCATGGTACAGGCCACCTCCATGGCTAGGTAGTTATCTACAGAGAGAGAGATGTTGATTTTAAGATATCATTGACATATTTCTATGTTTCTATATGTTTTCTTTGGCAATGTACAGTTTGTGTCGCTACACTCTTCATGCCAATAAAGCCTTTTGAATTTAATTGACCTAAATTTAATTGAGAGAGAGTGTGTTAAGAAGAAATAGGTGAGAGGGATAGAGATGGAGAGACAATATAATTCCTTAGAGAGACAGACAGACAGAGAGAGAGAGAGAAAACCGGAGAGAAAAAGAGAGCGAGAGAAACAGAGAGACAGACAGAGTAAATGGGACATTTATATATACAGGAAAGTAAGCCAAGCTTACAGGGGCATGTCTTGACGCAGGTGGCCCCGAAGCTGAACTTCCTGTTGGGGTTGGGTTTGGACACGAAGGTGACTGGGTCGTAGATGGTGGGGGGCGGACAGTTGTCTTTACATGTCCCGCTGTCGTTGAAGTGACGGCACGACTGTAAAACAGAGGCAGTTCTTTAGAAGTTTGTCCGTAGGAAATGAAAAAGTTTGGTTGTGCTGCAGTATTGGCAAAACAATTGCTGCAATGCGTGTGTAACACACCACCCTATTTTCTCCTGGCGCAACTGTAGGAACCAATACAGAGGAAAATTGACACATTCGAGGCAAGAGTCAAGACACATTGTTTGAACTAAGACAGGGAGTTGCTGTGTGTGTGTGTGTATGTGTGTGGTATGGTAGTATTCTCACCAGGCAGTCTGAGTCTTTGGGCCCAGTGCAGCCGGCAGCACACTGCATGTGGCAGCAGTCATTGGGCTTGGGTCCCTTACAGCGCAGACACCCCGACGCACAGTGCACATGGGTCACTATAGAGGGAGAGAGAAAGAGAGAGGGGGGGGGGGGGGAATTGTGATGAGAAATTGTGCTGCCATTTAATCTCTATAATCCAGAAATGTGATGAAAAAGAGATACACAGAAAAGAAGAGATGGGCGAGAAATGGCATAGACAGAATGGATACATAAAGACATAAATAAACAGATTGAGAGAAGAAGGGATGGACAGACAGACAGACTCACGGGTCTGGCAGTCTTGCTCCGTCTCTCCCCAGCAGCCTCTCTTTCCACAGGCAGGGGAGCACTTTGGACCTGGGACAAAAGACATAAGACGGTCAACAACGCCTTGACAGACGGTCACCTATGCTGACCGAACATTGACCTCTGGAGACAGACTGACCACACTTCAATCATAGGGATAGTTGACTGACCATTGGGATGTACAGTGCCTTCGGAAAGTATTCAGACCCTTTGACTTTTTCCACATTTTGTTACGTTACAGCCTTGTTCTAAAATGGTGTAAATAAATAAAATCCTCAGCAATCTACACCATAATGACGAAGCGAAAACAGGTTTTTAGACATTTTAGCAAATTATTTACATAAGTATTCAGACCCTTTACTATGAGAAACAAGATTCTCTGGTCTAATGAAACCAAGATTCAACTCTTCGGCCTGAATGCCAAGTGTCACGTCTGGTGGAAACCTGGAACCATCCCTACAGAGAAGCATGGTGGTGGCAGCATCATGCTGTGGGGGTGTTTTTCAGCGGCAGGGACTGGGAGACTAGTCAGGATCGTGGCAAAAATGAATGGAACAAAGTACAGAGAGTTCCTTGATGAAAACCTGCTCCAGAGTGCTCAGGACCTCAGACTGGGGCGAAGGTTCACCTTCCAACAGGACAACGACACTAAGCACACAGCCAAGACAACCCAGGAGTGGCTTCGGGACAAGTCTCTGAATGTCCTTGAGTGGCCCAGCCAGAGCCCGGATTTGAACCCGATCGAACATGTCTGGAGAGACTTGAAAATAGCTGTGCAGCAACCTGACAGAGCTTGAGAGGATCTGCAGAGAAGAATGGGAGAAATTCCCCAAATACAGCCATGCCAAGCTTGTAGCGTCATACCCAAGCAGACTTGAGGCTGTAATTGCTGCCAAAGGTGCTTCAAGAAAGTACTGAGTAAAAAAACAATTGAATCTGCAAAACGTCAAGGGGTCTGAATACTTTCCGAAGGCACTGTGTGTGTGTGTGTGTGTGTGTGTGTGTGTGTGTGTGCGCGTGTCCACTCCCATAACAGGAACACTCACAGTTGGGGGACCGGGCCTGAAGGCGGAGCTGCTTGGCATGTGTGTTCTTTTCATCTAGTGTGTCCCTCCACTCCATGTGCTGGGGGTCTGGGAAACAGAGCTGGGGGTTTCCCCAAATATGCACCCCACCCAGCAGGATCTCTATTGGGTTAACAGGACAGGGAGGGAAGGCTCAGTTCAAAATGTTCACAGAGGAACTGACAAAAAAAACCTAACAAGAGATTACGTTCATTGAAGTAATCACTGATGAGAAATGACTGGACAGGAAAAAGCCATGTGGTAAAGCCCTTGCATTCACCTATTCAATCATGTCTAATTAGTGGTTATGACAAAGGAAGGAAGGATGCACTTTTAAAGAATAAAAAAAGGGCCTATGAGTATCCAATCAATCCCTTCATTGCGTTACGATTACATCCCTCCTGTATCCCAAAAAGACTTCCCTCTCACTCTCTGGCCCCTCCTTCACCTGTGAGACTGCGGAGGCGGAGCACCCTTAGGCCCGCCCCCCCTTGAGGGAGGGTGTTGTCCAGGACAGCCAGAGCATAGCTGGAGTTGTACAGCTGGCTGCCCCGGATGATGCGCAGATTGTCCAGTGGCACCACGCTCACAGACACACGGGCAATCAAGACGTAGCCCTGCACCTCCACGATACCCTGGAGAGAGAAGGAGAGGGTGAGGGAGGAAAGAAGGGGAGAGAGGGAAAAAAAAATAGGGAAAGGGAGGGATGTTAGCATTGATAACAGGTGGGGAAAAAGTCCTGCAAAGAACACACACACATACCTGTAGGAAGGAGAGGTCCGGCTTGCCCCGAAGGTGTGTGATCTCTAGGTTGCCGTGCACCACCTGGCAGTCAGTGTAGAGCAGCCGCAGGGTCTCATAGTGGTTCTCCAGACTGGAGGGCAGGGCCAGCTTCATGTCTGTGCCCAGGCATACTGACAACACACACGCACAAATAGATACGTTAATACATGTTTACATTTAATTTAAAGAACAGGATCCTGAGTTGAAGCAGGGCTTTGTGTCAACCAGTGTTTCCGCACGTCTTGACGCCTTTGATGACGCATTTGAGTAAGTTGGTAATCAGGTGTGCCATTTGTGTTGCATGTGCAGCAAAAAATATATTTTTTTTTACACACTGCAGGTGCATCAACAATTTTATTCATTGACAATATACTGTACACCATGTAGTACATGTCTTTTTTCACTTTAAGATTCACTATAGGTTTTTTCATCCCTCTGCCATGGCATGATGAATACAGTCATATGCATATTGTCTGTATAGTGTGCACACTGACGTAATGTTTTCCTAAAGAGAAAGACAGGAAGGAAAGAAGAGAGCCTTGACATAAGAACAACCTCCCATTGCTTGTCTTCCACACACACACACACACACAATTAAATTACTTCCTCCCCAGATCCCTGGAAGACTCCCATAACATTTCTTTCAACCCTCCTTCCGGAAGTTCACTTCCACCCCCTCTCTCCCTCCTCCCTCTCATTCTCCATCCTCCCCCTCCCTCCTCCAGGGCTATCACTTTCCCTCTTTTTGGAGAGAGCAAGCCGGACACAGGGTGACACAGGATACAGGGACACAGCAAATGCAGAGAGAGAGGAAGAGGATTTGGCCAATCGCTGAGCCTCTGCCAACGGCCTCCAAAATGTGTGGCTTTGTCTCAAATGGCACCCTTTTCCTTACATAGTGCACATTAGTTGTACGTACGGGATACGCATGGTATACATCGTCCAACGAAATGCTCACTTGCAGGTTCCTTTTCGACAATGCAAACAATAATAATAAATTACTTAAGAACAAGTAAATGTAAAATGGCAGTAGAATAGAATAAACATATTAGCTTAAGTTTAATACAGGAAGGCACAATTTATAGTCCAATATTTACCTGTGTATTGGGGAAGGGGAGGATGGGGGGCAAGTGTATAAATTGAGCAGTATAATAAGAGTCTGGTAGCAGCAGTTGGGATGTGTGTGTAGCTTGAATGTGTGTGTATATATATATATATATATATATATATATATATATATGTGTGTGTGTGTGGGTGTGTGCATGATTGAGTCCATGTGTGCTAAGGTGCGGAGAATCAGAGCAGGTGGTCAGTCCTGTTCAAGTGTTCAGCAGTCTGATGGCTTGTGGATAGAAACAGTCTCTGAGCCTGTTGGTATCAGACCTCATGCCCGACAGTAATGGAGAGAACAGCTTATGGCTGGGGTGTGTGGTGTCCTTGATGATGCTGCGTGCCTTCCTCAGGCACCGTGTCGAGTAGATGTCCTGGAAGGGTGAGAGCATGGTCCCAGTGATATACTGGGACGTCTTCACCACCCACTGGAGGGCCTTGCGGTTGTGGAAGGAGCAATTCCCGTACCAGGCCGTGATGCAACCGGTCAGGACACTCTCGATGGTGCAGCGGTAGTATTTTGAGAGGATACGGGGCGGCATGCCGCATTTCTTCAGCTGCCTTAGAAAGTAGAGACGCTGTTGCGCCCTCTTGACAAGAGTGGTGGTATTGTTGGTCCATGACAAGTCCTTGTTGATGTGAATGCCGAGGAACTTAAAACCCGTGACTCTCTCTACTGCAGTCCGGTTTATGTGGATTGGGGCATGTTCCCTCCTCTGCTTCCTGAGGTCAACAATCAAATCCTTTGTTTTGCTGACATTGAGGGAGTTGTTGTCATGACACCACAATGGCAGTTCACTTACTACCTCCCAATAGGCTGACTCATCGTTGTTGGTTATCAGGCCTACAACCGTGGTGCCGTCACCAAAATTGATGATAGAGTTAGTGTTGTGCAAAGCCACGCAGTCGTGGGTGAACAGGGAGTACAGCAGAGGACTGAGGAAACACCCCAGGGGGCCCCCTGTGTTAAGAGTCAGAATGGAGGAGGTGTTGTTGCCAATCCTCACAGCCTGTGGTTTGCCCTTCAGGAAGTCCAGGATCCAGTTGCAGAGAGTGGTGTCCAGACCCAGGGCTCTGAGCTTGGTGTCGAGCTTGGAGAGAACACTAGTGTTGAATGCTAAACTGAAGTCAATGAACAGCATTCTCACATAGGTGTTCCTCTTGTACAGATGTGTTACGGCCGTGTGAATAGTGATGGAAATGGTATCTTCCCTGGATCTGTTGGAGCGGTAGGCAAATTGGAGTGGGTCCAGTGTGCTGGCCTTGATGTGGGCCATGACCAGGCTCTCAAAGCACATTATGATGACTGAGGTGAGCGCAATGGGGCAATAGTCTTTTGGCATGTCACCTTGTTTTTCTTGGGCACTGGGACGATGGTCTCCTTAAAGCAGGTGGGTCTACAGCCTGGGACAGGGACAGGTTGAAGATGTCTGAGAAGACGCCGATAGGGCTCTGGTCAAAAGTAGTGCACTATATAGGGAATGTAGTGAGACGCAGCCAAGGACATACGAGTCGTTATCGCGCCTGTATTACTGCACCGTGTACGAGTTCTTATCACATGCTATGTGACGTGTAGTGTGTTCTAAACGCAGCCCAGTGTTCTCACACTGACCAATATAGTATCAGCTGCACTTAGGGCTGTTACGGTGACCGTATTACCGCCACACCGGCGGTCACGAGTCATGATGGCAGTCAAATTCCATGTGACCGTTTAGTCACAGTAATTAGGCTTCTCCAAGCTCTGATGCTGCTGATGGTCATTAGTAGCCTACCAAACTTGCTAACTGCCTGGTACTCCGCACTCTATTGTCCCTCTAATCACTCTGACATCAATGCAAATATAATCAAAAATATAATCAAACACTTCATGAGAGCCCATGAGCTCATGTTGTGCAACATTTCTATAGGCTATGCGTGAGAAAACAGAGTGATGGCCTATATTAAAAAGAGCATGATCCCATCAGCTTTCTATAGGCTAGGCCTACTATATCTATATATATTTCTCAACCTTCCTAATATTAAGCACATTGCTTCTCTTTAAAACAGATGTATAGCCTACCTGGCTGGCATGAAAATGAACCACGAGAAAAGCGTCCTCCATTCACTATTTAAGTGCATAGATGACATGTATTATTTTCCCACTGCTCCTGTTTCAAGACAGGTGCATGTTAATGGTCAATTCTAAATCAAAACAAATTTCACACATATATTATTTAATATATGTAAAGACAAGATTAAATCAAGAATAGTGTGATGGGTGACAATATTAGCCTATCACTTGTGAATGATATATTTTCACTTGTGAATGATGCCCAGCTTAAGGCAAACAGTGCATGCTTTTATTTTGCTACTTTTTCTAATCATAGTCACACACTTCATGTAGCCTAGCCCATAGGCCTAAATGTTCTCTCATCTGTTGCGTAAGGCTCATTGCTTAAAACAGTTTTTTATTATGCTAGTGGTTGTATTAATTTGGGATCTATCGCATCCCACAACTGTCCCGGACTATGTTTGGAACATTTATTTATTTCACAGAATAGGTCAACTTTTGTACTATGGGGGATAGTAGATTGACATATGCTAGTGCTTTTGCTGTTCGTTAGGCCTACTCATCTTGTTGGCTGACGAAAAATAAATGTGGACAGTTCTTCCAATATCTTCAATATGCGCCTCGGAATTGGATAAGATGTGTCTGTCTTCACTTGTAGGTTGTGAGAAAGACCCGATCACGTGACTGAGAGCCATGTGAGTGAGAGGGCCTTCGGCACGCAGCGGGGAGAAGGGAATTATAATTATTATATTCAGCCCAAAGGCATAACGGCTGCTGGCCGCAAAAGGCATGGATTTTTTAAAGGGGATTATGGCCACACAAAGGGGATGCAGCCGGGAAATTTGACGCATTATCAAGTGCTTGTCAAATTGTGAATGAGAGACTGATGAAGTGTGTACAGCCTGCGCAAAAAAAACTAAGCAGAGCTCATGCCTTTCATGCAACTTTTTTCAAATCATCATTAGTCGCATCATGCAGCCTTAGAATATATTAAAATTAAGCATATAGGAGTACCTGTTTCTTTGTTAACCGCTCAACACAGAATAGCCGCATGTGCGCACTCCCTCAAATCGTTTGGAGAAAATATCCTTTCTATTTAATTCAGCTATGTTCAATTGTATTCTTCATACTAAAAAATAATATAAAATAATGCTACGGAATTCTAAGCAAATCTTGTCTGCTAAATGAACTAGTGTAGCCCACAGCCATATGGCATAGCCAGATCAGGGCCTAAACATAAGGACAACGCAGAGTATGCTATTCTGTTCTTCTCAAATAGACTACATTTTCTTCATATCATGTTTCTTTAGATCTGTCTAAAATAAATAATGGATTTATTGTAATGGTGTAGGCTATATTACATGTTTTTATTAGACTTTTTTAAATGTAGATGTTCCAAAGGTCTGCATCAGTGGCTTGTAGGCTATGCATGGAAGACAGGAGATGCTAAATGTGTTTATGTTAATTAACTGTCAATTGCCGTGAGACCAGCAGTTATTTGCTTGACAATCACCGGCTGACAAAATGTCATGACCGCCACAGCCCTAGCTGCACCTTAACAAGCTAGCGCAGACAAGGGGGTTGTAAAAAGGGACATGTTTGTTAGTCTAAAGACTGTGTGTGTGACTGTAGCAGACGCTAGATGCTATAAAAGGCAACAGTAAACATGTTGTTATTCAAAAGTATGTTGCATGGATTGATGAGAGAGAGAAAAAAAACAATTAAGTATTTTTTCCCTAGCTGGAAATCAAAACTATGATAGCTCACAATGGATGGGATGTCAGAGAACAGACTCCACTGCTTGATGGGGAAATACATTGATATAAAACATGATCTATTTTTATGGGCAGACAACGGACAGTTATACTGATAGTAGTCTCGCTAGACTATACTTATAGTAACAGAATGGTCGATGTCAATGAATTGACTGTGAAATATTCAAATCGATCTGCAGTTTTGTGAATGGGCAGAGCTTTTAGATCCTTATGGTAAACTTGATTCTCATGAGGAGATGCATTTATGTACAAAATGTCATGACTGTAGCTAAAACGGGACAGGAGATATGCTTGTTCAAAGTTTGCAATTTCAGTTGATTACTATAGCGCCCCTATTGTAAATGCCGGATCTCTATGGCAAGACGCATCATTCAGCTATATTTAGTGCACTACTTTTGACCAGAGCTCATTTAGCAGATGCTTTTATCCAGAGAGACTACAGTTAGTGCATTCAATGAAGGTAGATAAACAACCACATGTAAAAAGTAACAAGTACAACGTTACTGATAATGTCATTGTAGTTAAAGTGGTTTGTTGGTTGGTTGACATTACTATGTGCACTGCCAGTTTTGAAATTGGTGAAAAAGCTCACAGATGAGTAAGAGAGATGGGGGTATAATGTTCCCTACTGAAATCTCTATTATATAATTGTTAGGGTTATGGTTGTTTAGTCAATGTATATATAGTCTACTTAACTGGATAGTAAGTTAGATTAATTGAAAATATTAAGGTTAGTAATCTCTACTAAAACCTCAATTGATTCAACTATAAATAGTAGATTATACTGACAAACTGTAAAATTGACTTGACTTCGCTTTATTAGTCAAAGTAAATTTTGTGTTAGTTAGGATAACTTTACATTTAAAAGTTGATATAACTAAAGTTGAAATTGATTCAACTAGGAATAGTAGGTTTTACTGACAACTGTTGAAGTTGACTTAACTATCTTTTATTAGTCAAGGTACATTTTGTTTAAGTAAGGATAGCTTGAAATTTAAAGTTGATAGAGCTTGAAAAGGCCATGCAACTTCATGACTGGAAATAATAAGTTGAAACAACAAATAATTTTCTACAGTGTTGATCAGATGACTTCGTTATACTGACTTAGTCATGTAAAATATTTCGTAGGGAGCTAAAAGAGGAGTTTGTTTGATATTTATTTCCAAACTGCTTTCATTTTTTTAATGACCCACTAAATCAAGCCGAAACTCACTCCCACTCGCATGGACACGCACCCACACACACACGTGTTTTGTTCACTGTCCGGCTTTGGCCTTGACGTTGAGTAGAAACCCACCCCTTCCTTTCCCTATCCAACCAATTACTGTAAATACTCTCACTCTTTCTCTCTCTCCTGCTCCAGCCCTTTCTTCTTATCTAATCCCGCTCTCCTTCTCTTTTCAGATCTCCTTCCCTTCATCCATCCCTCCCTCCCTTCGCCTCTTTCTCAGACGGGCACAAGTGCCGGCGTTATGCATGTGTCAGTGCCCAACAAAGGACTGCCACTGACACCTATATAAACACACACACCACATACACATTCACACATGCACCGAGGTGCTCGCTAATCGCTAATGCTGGCTAATGCTGGCTAGATAGCGCTTCTCTACACCATATCCTAGCAACTTCACTTGGAAACGTCCATTTGCCAAATGGTTTCTGCGGTAACCACCCAGGAGGTGGAGGGTTCTGGGAAAAATAAGATTAAAAAATGACACACCAAACAGTTCGGTCAGCATTGAGAACCTCATGAAAACTACATAGCCCACGTCTATTCTCCATTCCATGTCTATCATGACAGTTGAATGCAATTGTCAAACATATTCGCTTGAAAATGAAACAGCACGTTAGTTTTGAGAGTAATTATTAGTGTTTGGGTATACTTTCTGTATTACATTTGTCTTTATGAAAGTGAGGATGGAATGCCATTGAGGTTTTGAATTGAAAAATAAATGTTGCAAGTTAATGTGTCCTTCTACTTCTTGTAAAGCATACTTCAAGATTCAAACATTGGCAGCTATATCTTTGGGAACCATCAACTTCTAATGAACTGTGATTGCTAGTCATCCAAGACAAATATTTTGATTGGATTACATTTTCAAATCAAAACATTTTTCTTCCCCCATAAAACTTGGAAATACTTTGCTTGCTATAAGCTCTAAAGTCGACTGCTTTCAGTTTTGTCATTGTTGGAGTATACCAATGTCTTTCAAGCATTAACCATGACTGATAGATTAATTGGGGCAGCTTGAGTAGAGTACCTACTAAATGTAAATTGAATGTGACCTATACCTGTACTGCAGGAGCCTTCGAAAGCTAACACAACCAAACCTACATGGGCAGCCTGGGTGTGTGTGTGTTGTGTGCACTGACTAACAAGAACAACGTTCACGGCTGCCAGCAATGCTGCCGCAGGTGTTGGTTGGTTCAACCCGGAAAAGCTGCCACCACTGAGACAATTCCCTTTGCTGTACCGCCCCTTCCACTTCAACTTCCTCCTCTTCAACCCTAATCTTCTCCTACCCCAAGATACTCAACTACTTCAACATCTTCCTTTCAAACCTAGTATTGTCTGACAGATAAACAGACATCCATTAAAGGGGAAATCTGGAATTACTTTGTACTCTGATGGCCACAGGACAAATGCACAATCAAAGTTAGTAAAAAAAGCACAAAAACAAACATAGTTCCATTTCAGCCAATCAGTACACCCGCCCGCAAAGACCCTCCCACTCAGTCCTGTATATAGTCCACTCAATAACAGAAACTCAATTACAGATTGCACCTTCAGGTGGGCTTTGCCTCCCCAACAACCCTAATCCTAGCATCTTGCCTTGGATAAACATACATTTCTATTCTAACTCCCCCCAAAAGCATTCCTCCTTCTTTCACTTGCCAAGTACAAACAGGTATTGCTCAACCGACAGGAAGAACAGGATCTGTACCTGTTGCTGCAGTGCAGAGCATACTCTATGCGCATGAACATTCACTCTCTATCACACACACACACAAGCGCACACACACGTCAATACAATGGCAGGCAGAGTGCAACACACACAATACATGCATGATTACTCCTCCAAACCAATCTGAGAACCGGTATCAGAAAAAGAGTCTCTTGCACATACAACTTTTCACTGTAGACATCCCTTGCTCTGAGAATCTCAATACGCAAAAGTTAGCTCTATTGCATTTGATTGTTCATTTTATTTTTGCACGCAGTAGCAGCCTGTGGAAGGTCCTAGGATGGAAACATTGCAGCAAACGCATCTGCTTCAAAAACAAAAGTGAAATTGAATGCAGTAGTAGTATCCATCCAACAGTCCAGTCGTATCCTTTTTTCACTCTGTCTCTATCAACAGGTATCAAGCTTTATCCACAGGTAAAACGTGGATGTATTTTACTGTAGGCCAATCAAACATTAAGCCAGCAGTTATAATGCATTGTAAAACTTGTCATATAAGCATGTATGACTGACTGCCTTATAATGTCTTATGAAACTTTTAAATAAGACATTATAAAAGGCTCATATATGCTTATAACAAGTTGTAAAGCATTATACCTGAAGGCTTTAAGTAATGTGTTTCCAATATGTTTTATCATTTCAATGCTCATAGGCATAGAAAGAAATACTCAATAAATAATAAATAATGTGTCCTTTTTTGCTGTGTTATGAAATAACATATATTAAGCTTATAATTAAGGCCATGCTTTTTAGGCACTTTTTGAGGCACTTTGCTTTTACCGGTATTTCCAGCAATAACCACTAGAGTTGCTGTAGGTAGAAAATCCTAGGAAATGTTATTTAATTGGCACAAACTGTCTCCAATCAGTCAATCAATGTCTGGTTGTGCATGTGTGTTTGGCGGGGTGATGGCCTGAGCCAGGGGAGGCGTAGCTCTGCACATAAAACCTATTATTTGGTAGGGAATACTATTTGTAGGTAAATTATTCTACATTCACTTTGCTCAAGCTGACTTTCCTCTCCAACGGACTCAGAAGTTGTAGCTAAAAATGGGTCAACTAGGGGCAGTTAAAGGGGAGAGTCGATGAAACCAACGATGGAAGTGTTTTGCAGTGAATTCGGTTATAGCCCCGAACGGGACTCGAACCCGGCTCCAGCGACTGTCAAGCCAACACCTTAACCATTATAACAAGAGGTCCTAACCTCTTGTTAAGCTCGCTAGGTGTTGGGTTAAGGTCGCTACACTACCCCCTTCCTTCGCTTCTCTATACCAAGTCCCTCACATGTACACGCCTATCAGATGGCCTCATGGGCGCCATCCCACTTCTGACACCAATGTAGCGAATTTGGGGAGGGGTTAGCCCCGACTGGGACTTGAATCCTGATCCAGCGAGTGTCAAGCCAACACCTTAACCATTAAGCCAAGAGGTTTGGACCTCTTAGCATAACGATTAAGGTGTTGGTTTGACTCTCCCCTTTAACTGCCCCTAATGTATCTATTTTTAGCTACAACTTCCGAGTCCGTTGGAGAGGATCAGCTTCAGCAAAGTGAGGTGTAGAATCACTGATCTACAAATAGTTTTCCCTCCCAAAGAATAGGTTTTGTGCTTAAGATTCCCAGAGCTACGCTTCCCCTGGCTCAGGCCATCCCCCCACCAAGCGCACATGCACAACCAGACATTGATTGATTGATTGGAGACATACACTACAAAACCAAAAGTATGTGGACACCTGCTCGTCGAACATCTCATTCCAAAATCATGGGCATTAATATGGAGTTGGTCCTCCCTTTGCTGCTATAACAGCCTCCATTCTTCTGGGAAGGCTTTCCACTAGCTGTTGGAACATTGCTGCGTGGACCTACTTCCATTCAGCTACAAGAGCATTAGTGAGGTCGGGCACTGATGTTGGGCGATTAGGCCTGGCTCGCAGTCGGCGTTCCAATTCATCCCAAAGGTGTTCGATGGGGTTGAGGTTAGGGGTGCAGGCCAGTCAAGTTCTTCCACACCAATTTCGACAAACCATTTCTGTATGGACCTCGCTTTGTGCATGGGGGCATTGTCATGCTGAAACAGGAA